GTGTAGCCGAGTGGTTAGTGTGTCAAGCTCCCATCCTGCACTGTCGCCGTTCGACTCCCGCTGAGGGTGTTGATAAGACCAATGCGAGGTCGAAACTGCAGTCTACTGGGGCCTGGATGAGAACAACTTTTGGGAAAGAAGGCTATGTAAAAATTCAATGGAAACGTCAGTTCAACTCATATCATTTGTGGGAAAATTATACTTCTACCAATCCTTCATCACCTTAAACGAAATTGGGTGAATACATCTTATAACTGATTTACTGGTTTACTGGTTTTCACGAAAAACAATACATAATTCGAAAAATAAATTAATGGAGTTGATATGATGTCGGAAATCGTGACGTACTACTTCTGAATGATTTTCACATACTCACCTATTGCCAATGCTCCCTGCCATGTTCTGAACTAATTAGTTTTTTATCCCTCACCCTTTCAGCCCTACATGCATCCAACGCACACGATCATGACGGATCGCCCTGAACTGATGTCTCGACCATGTCCTGCGATCTATTCGTCCGCTTGGCTTGGCAACGACGGCATCAGGGATCTCTACTCCTCTCCGAAGCATGCAGATACCGATCCCAATGGCAACCTTAATTCGCTCCCTTTTCGAGGACCAGTCACATTACGGCCCGGTTTCTACGCCGTCCCCTTTATTGTGCCAATTGCGGAGACGGCTTATCCATCCATCCTGATTTCGGGAATCTGGACGAGGTCTGGGCAAGCCTCGACCCAGACCAGGTAACACGCGGAGCATAAGCATACTTGGTATTCAAACCTTCGTGTCGAAGAACATAAAATCCAGTTAACTAAGGTCTAGTCAGCATCAGGAACAAAATCATTCGATGTCACCATGTTGCAAAATTTTCATCAATTCTTGACCAATAACTTAGTCAGTGTTGACCTGACCTTGCTTTCGCAACTTTGTCAGAGCGACAGGGAGAACTTGTAGAACGTATTTAGTTCTGTGGATCGTTGATCTGATCCTGAAAAATATCACAAATACTATGATGTGGATAGGTAAAATGGCGATATGAAGTGGAGTGGAGAGAACGAGATGCAGCACTAGAAGCTGGAACAAAAAATAGGGGCGACAAGTGATGTTGAAACGGTTAGACAGAAGATTTTTCAAAAGGATTGTCACTTTGATAAATTGCATCTCTGCGCTAAGGATGGCGCCTCTCTCTGAAGATTCCGAATACGTGGTCGGCGGACCGTCTTCGAATGTACCAAGTCAACGATCCGATGTTAGCAATTATCATAAATGTTATGGCAGACGACGTAGGACTGGTTACTTTCCATCTTAGTCTTCATATCTATGAACTAGCTTAGACATGGTGAGTTTATTTAACAAAATGATTTGGTTATACCTCATAATCATACGAACACTCACTTAATCTGAACACAGAAAAGATGGTCTAATTGAGGCGGGTTGTAATTTTGACTTCATTTTGGGCGGCATAAACGCTCCAACAGGATTCTAAACCTGTTCATTTACATTTCGGGGGTACTATAAAACTCTACCACACAGACTTACAGTATCATTGTGACTTTGTTGAAGAGCCAATCCCATCTCAACTCACATGTAATGTATTAGCATGAATGAGAAAAACATGTATTGTTAGACAGTAGAATATACAATTTTTGTTGAAGATATGAAGACCAAGATGGTGTGACCTCTGGTATGGTCGAGGTCTCTTTTCGATTTATAGAGGTGAGTTGACCTCTTTCCCACAACATGATCCTATTGTCAGGGTGACTTAGTAGAACGCACCTAGTTCGAAGTCGTCTGCCATAGCAGTTGTCATGATTCCCACAATAAGACAGTGGACTTGGTACACTCTCAAACGTTTCGCCTGCATTATAGTTGACGTCATCAGTCAGTTTCTGATAAACAGGGATCTGTCGATTAAATGAAGCTTTTGAAGTTGCGTCACTCTTTCATAGTTCATAGTGGACTGCAGTTTTGACCTCGCCCTAGGTCACATCAACACACCAACACAATTATACACCGAACCGTGCACGTCTTAGAAACACGACGCCACTCCGCTAAATGGTCATGGGTGTAAATCTGTCTCAGAACAGAGGCGAATTTACAGCCTTCTGCCATATCAAATTTATTGTGGTAGTATCGAAGAAAAATAGTATTTGCAATTACAATCAAATATACTACTTATACATTATGCGAGTAGCTTTTAAGACTATTAGTAACTGTTGGACAAGAATTTTGTCATGCATAAGTAACCTTCTTAAAAATATTCAGGAGGGAAGTATAAATTGAATTCAGTGACACTGTAGGCTAGCTAATAATGTTGTAATAAAATTAGCCTATCAGTCTTTAATTTGCTTTATGTGTCCCAAGTATACTAAGTCACATATGAGCCCCATTGCGTAAAAGATTATATTGAAGTTTCGCATCGATATTACATCAAAAAATTGCAAGCAGATCCAAGTTTTATATCCTTGGCTCGCCGAATAACTAAAAAAATTTGTAAACATTTATTGTCGTAAATTGCCTGGTCTGGCAGCTACACATAAGGGAGTGATAACTATTACGTTAAGGCTAATGGAACATGCAAACATTATTATTCACAATAATCTTGAATGGGACATATTTTGTAAGAATTTTGGCAAAAGAAATACAATTAGAGGCCTGACGCTCGTTAAGGAAGTGTATTTATTCTTCACCTTTTCATTTACCTGAGTACTACACAGGGTTGCGACCTTAAGAATTATTTTGGGACCTTAGTGATATTCTTCTAAGTTTCATAGTCATCTAGAAGTTTTCTTGTGGATTAGTTAAGCAATAGTTAAACATGTGGTAGAATTCGGGGATTTACATGTTAATTTAGATGTGGTATCGATTTACACTGACATTACTTGGAACGAAGGTACACAGAAGAAACGTATCAACACCGGGTGAGTTTAATAAGTAACAATTTAGCAATGTAGCAAATGTTGATATTAAAGAATTTGGCGGTGAGATGTACAAATTTTAATTTGTAATAGTAAATTGTACCAACAACTATGATGTGTAGCAAGAGGATCTCGCTTGCTCCCACGTAGTTGTACGGACTCGTTGGAGGGTCGCATAATTCAAGAAGCACTTTTAATTCCTAAATTATTGGTTAAATATGCGGATATCTACTTAGAAATTTCGTAATAAATCAAGGCAAGTATAGATAATGTGC